ATTGTAAATGTTGCAGCAGTTGAAGCAACTAATGCTATTATTAGAGATATGGATGATGCATTCTTTTCTATTTTTAGTTGATGAATCTCGTGATGTATTAGTAAAGGAGCAAATGGTCGTTATGTTTCATTATGTAGACAAGAAAGGATGTGTGATTGAACGCTTCATAGGTATTGAACATGTTACAAGTACCACAGCTCAGTCACTTGAAGCAAGTATTAATGCATTATTTTCTAGACATAAATTGAGTATGTGCAGACTACGAGGTCAAGGTTATGATGGGGCCAGTAACATGAGTAGAGAGTTCCATGGTCTGAAGACACTTATTATGAGGGAGAATGAGTCTATTTACTATGTTTACTGTTTTGCACATCAACTTCAGCTGGCTATTGTGGGTTTGGCAAAAAAACACAGCCTCATATGTGCTTTCTTCACCTTAGTTTCTAATGTGGTAAATGTTGTGTAGATTCAGCTGCACCAAAATGGATTAAGCTGCATCCTCAACTTGTGATACTCGCAAGTGCACGAGCCGTTTGGTAGTATAGCATATGTAAGTGCGAGGTCGATCCCACGAGGATTGGTGATTGAATGATTCAATTCAGTTTTCCTACACAAAACAGAAACAAAAACAAAGAACATGAAAGAAGGAAGAAAATAAGAAAGTAACTCAAGCAAATAAGTTCCCAAGTTCAATTTAGATTAATGGATTGATTCTAGCTAAAGTATGATTAAGCCATGGTGTGTGGTCATAACCTTGTGTTCCTAATTCCCTAATTTGATCATTTGTTGTCTAACCTAAAATTAAGCATTAGGAACCCATTAAGCATAGAAGAACAATTTAAACAACCAAGCATGTATCTAATCCCTGTTGTCGAATGTCCATACATACTCTTCCTATTCATAGTTCAATTCGAATTAAAGCATGGTGTATACTCTTAATTCAAACCAAGATAGCTAACATGCAAGCCTAAATGGTGATCAATCATTCAAACTAGCATATTAACTTATAAGCATAATGAATAAGAACAAAAACCATAATTGAAACTTGGAAACTAATCAAACTTGAAAAACTAAAGAAAAGAATTTACATAATGAAAAATAAATTACAACTAAGAAGCAAAAGCAAAGCTAGAATTGAGAACTAGAAAGCAAAATTAAGAGAATTTGAGGGAAAGAAGGGAAGGGAGCTCTAGAGAAGTGTTTGAGAGCCCCCCCCCTTGGGGTGTGTTTACAAGCTTAGAGAACATCCCTATTTATAGGCCTAGGGGAAGTGAAAATCATCTTTCCAAGCATATGCAGCCCAACTCAAGGAAAAATCGGGAAGGCCTTCAAATGTGATATTTGGCCCAGTAACGCAGATGCTGCCGAATTTGACCTTAAGTTGCCAAAACATGTATAACTTTCTCTAGAAGACTCGGAATCATGAACCGTAAAATTATACAGAAACTAGACTTCCGTATCTTTCCAATGATATATGGCTCATCATCTGGTTCTTCTTGAGCAAGTACAGTCCAATCCGTGAAGTTGACTGATCTGCAGACACCGTTTTGAGCTAACTTGTCTCCAAAATGCAATTAGTGAGTCCTTAAGCTTATTACACTGAAACAAACACCAAACTTATTAAAAACACAAGTTTAACTCAAAAACATAACCAAATCATAAGTTAGAAGGGTACAAAATGATATGTAATTATGCACCGATCAGTAAATATTGTTGGAACTTGGAGCATCATCTAAGCATCGTGATATTCTTCGGTATAAGCAAGTTCTCAAAGTAGTTGAAGCACTCACCAATAGGGAGCTTTCTATTAGGAAAGGTTTAAATTAAACAACAAAGATTAAGTGTTCATGAGATACACGTTGGGGCTCATATTATGGTACGTTGATAAACTTTATTACCATGTTCTCATCTACAATTGATGTGCTTGATGAAATTGCAAATGATAGATTAACTGTTGATAAAAAAAACATGAGGCATTTATACTACTAGGATTAGTGCAATCATTTGATTTTGTATTCAGATTGCATTTGATGAGGAATATACTTGGACTCACAAATGCATTGTCACAAGCCTTGTAGAGGTATGATCAAGATATTGTGAATGCCATGGATTTAGTTGAATTATGTAAGCAACAATTCATGAAGATAAGGGAGAATGGATGGGATTCTTTGTTGGAGGAAGTTTCTGTTTTTTGCAGGAATTAAAATATTAATGTTCCTAGCATGGATGATATCTTTCTAGCTGAAGGGAGGTCACGACACAACGGTCCAAAAATCACAAATATACATTATTATCGTGTTGATTTTTTCTATGAAGTGATAGCTTTGCAACTCGAAGAGCTGAATAGTCGTTTCAATGAGGGCAACACTAAGTTGTTACTTTGCTTGGCATGCTTGAGTCCAAATGATTCATTTTCTTCTTTTGACAAGCAAAAGCTCATTCGGCTTGCTCAACTTTACCCGAATGATTTTCCTATACAAGAGCTTAAGGTACTTAAAGATCAACTTCAAACTTATATTGATGATATGCATTCCAACACCAACTTTTCAGAATTACAAGGTATTGCTACTCTTGCAAAAAAACTAGTCGAGAGAAAAAAAGACAAGGCATATCCACTAGTTTATCTTCTCATAAAATTGGCGTTAACACTTCAAGTTGCAACAGCTTCAGTAGAAAGGGCATTCTCTGCTATGAACATCGTAATCGAATGGGAGACCAATGGATGAATGATTGCTTGGTAGTATATCTTGAAAAAAACATATTTAATAGTATTGATAATGAGCTTATTATGCAACATTTTCAGAATATGAAAAGTCGTCAAGGACAATTGTAAATTTACTAATTAGACAAAGCTATTAATATTCTAAGTTTGAAATTTTTTTTGTTTGGCTATATATCAGTTGAATTTTTTTTTAAGCCCCCAGATGAACAAAAGTTTGGGTCCTCCACTGCTTTCACACGTGGGTAACCCGCTCTGATACCATGTAAATGAAATAAACCTGAGTATATTTTTCATTATCATATTATCATGGGTACAAATTATATACAACATGATAGAATTACATCCAATTACAAGTAATTAGGGATTACAATAAATTATAGATATTTATCTTAATCAAGGCAATGAAGACGGAGATTGGCTGGACCAATTTAGGGAGAGTTGATCTGCAACCTGGCTCTGATACCATGTTGAATTTTTCAGGTCAACGGGCCGAGGGCCCACTCCAACAACACTGATACTGTCCCCACTTTACCACCTGCACAATCCTCAGGTGTGGGGTTTTATCACAAAAGGCCTCGGTATTAGTTGGAGTGGGGTAATTCTATTTAAAGTACTCTTTCTCCTTCCCTCTCTCCGATGTGGGACACAATTGGTTTCAACACTCCCCCGCACGTGAGACCCCATTTTGTGGGTCACATGTGGAGATCCACATCGGCAACCACGTGGAGCCATGTAGGGACTCACCCATCGCGCGGGGCCAAACGGGGACCCACCCATCACGTGGCACCTTTGGCTTACGTGGAGCCAAACGGGGACTCACCTATCGCGCGGGGCCAAACGGGGACCCACCCATCACGTGGCAAGTACGGGCCCGCAACCTGGCTCTGATACCATGTCAAATTTTCCAGGTTAACGAGCCGAGGGCCCACTCCAACAACACCGATACTGTCCCCACTTTACCACCTGCACAATCCTCAGGTGTGGGGTTTTATCACAAAAGGCCTCGGTGGTAGTTAGAGTGGGGTAATTCTATTTAAAGTACTATTTCTCCTTCCCTCTCTCCGATGTGGGACACAATTGGTTTCAACAGATCGGACTGAATTGATTCACTAACAACACACAAGGCAAAAACCCATCAATCAAAACCAAAGAGTTAATGCCATATGCAAAAACTCTAACAAGTTACAATGTATCCATTATTTACTATGTCATACATACAAAAACTACGAGATTAGGAGTGAAGTCTCCCTACCTAGAGAGTCTAAAGCTACAGCCTCATCCCGCACATGTCATTGCTCATCGCTCATTGTACATTGTCTTTGGGATTAGCCTACAAAGCTTTGTTCTTGGCCTTAAAGCTTGTAATGCGTCTTACTAAGTTTCATCTTTCCTCACCCAAGCCATGTGAACTATGTACCTCTCATGGCCACCACAATCCACCCTCCTTGGAGACTCAATGTCCAAGTCGATACATTTCCAATTGGTTACTAAGAAAGGTGAAATCTACACATGTAAGGCCTTTAACCTTTCATCACCCAAGACATGTGGGACAATGTGCCACTTATGGTTATCAAAATTCACCCGCTCGAGGCCCGATGTCTTCGTGCTCATGAATTTGTTCTTGGGCCATTGTGTCACGCCCCAGGTTCGAGGGTCGGAAGAAATCTTGTGCCCGATATGTGAGTAATAAAGAAAAATAAAAAGGGCAAAAAACAAGGGTTTAAAATAAAATTCTCTTATAAAAATAGCTCCAAAATCTTACAAGTGTACAAGAAAATAAATAAAATTCCATCACTCTCATCTAATTCAACCTCGACTCACCTACCATCCTCCTTTTAGGCTTTAAACCTGCAAAGTCTATAAAGGGGTGAGTGAAACCACAACTCAGTGGTAAGTCTTTTGTAACGCTCTGCACTTGAGGTTTTTAACCAGTCCTTTGTAATGCTCTACACTTGTGGTATTCAGCAAGTCTTTTGTATTTGTGCTATGGTTAAGCACCAATGATATGGTATGCACTTTTGTACTTCAAAGTGTTAAATGCAAACTTAGTACTTCTTTTCAAATAACCAGAAGGTTTGGTTTCTTTAAGACCTGTTTATGATTCCACCAATATGGTGAAGTTTTGCATTGAAAGTGTGATATCCAAATGGTCAGATATATTCATTCCCAACTGCTATGAGTACATCAAATTGTTTCAAATTGCACCACTTCATTCAAAGCTAGCCAATTTTTTTTTACAAGAAATGGCGACAAATAATAGATACAAAAACCCAATAACACCACTAACACATATTACCCAAAACCCAAAACCACAAAATACATGCCCTCAAACCCTTTCATCAAGCTGCATAAAAAATAAATAAATAAAACCTCTTTCATGACATTAATTCCAATTTCAGTTGTTTCCCATCCCTGCAATTTGGTTTCGATAACACATAAAGGCCCAAAATTATCATCACAATCAAGCAGCTGCCAAATGAGAACTTAATCTTCTTTACTTTAGCTCTCTACAACTGAAGTTCCTCCTCCATGGTTCTAATACGTCTTAACAGCCCATGAATGATCTGCTTGGAATGATTGCACATTTCTGGGTCCGCCCTCTCCCACAAATCCACCGTCGACCTCTTTGCATCAGTCATGGAATCGGATAAAAGAAAAGAAAAAATTCAAATAACCAAAAGCATCATAAAACTCACCCCTTGTGTGCCACAAACATAGAACATTCTTCCAGGGTTTAAATCTGTCCACGATGTCCTTATTAACGCCTCTTTTCGACATTTATAGTATCTCCCCAACATAGCTCCTCCACGTTCACTTGAGACTCGCACCTTATCTCAGCACCACGACTGGTCTGGTTACAAAATTGGGGCTTCAGGACTAAATTGGCTGATTTTTTAATCCAAAGAGTTAATTTCTACAAGTATCATAATTTAGGGGGTAAAACGAGTGAAAATCATATTTTCCATTTGTATCCGTATATAAGTATATATCCCTCTTAAAGAGAAGAATATACATATCAATGTATCCCTAATTACTTTTGAGTATAGATTTTGTATAAAACGTCAACACCCCTCTTTAATTTTATTGATTGTTTCCACTTTGATTACATGTGACAACTTGATAATAAATATCTAGTGGACTAGCGCTAGATTCGTAATCAAAGGTGCATAAGAGGACATCTCTATTGCTATAGGGAGATTCTATTTTGAATATATGTGTTCCCACAATCCTTGCATTAACAACTCAAAGTAACGACATTGAGAATACAAGCAGCCATGTAAACCAAAGTGATTAAGTACGAGAAGGTGAGCTCGCATCATTCTCTAATCCTCCTTATGAAAGACAACCAAAGTGATTGACCATAAATTAAATTATTTACAGCCATAAAGGGTTACAAGAAATAAGAAGATTTAGAAAACGACCAAATCATCCAGTTCCTATTCCTCTTGAAAATTGGTTTAGTGTAGAGAATTGACAGGATCAAGAGCGAGAAACAACGAATGTCATTACCAAAATTGTCTATAATACAAAACGGATATAATCATTTCTCCTCCATATACACAGCTCTCAACACTCAAGTCACTAGTGTCCGACAACACGTAGCAACTATCCTTCACTCTTACAAAACAAAATGGAAAAAAAAAAAAAATATATATATATATATATATATGTACGCGTTGTGATTTAGATTATCAAATAGCCAAACAAAGATCAGTGTAGGAATTTCCTACCTCAAGGAACAAGACCAAACTGAGAAGAATGATATACATCGGTTGGGCATATCATCCACTGTGATTCTTCAAGAAGTTACCCTCCTCAACCATCGTAATCAATGAAGCTGCTTCAAGCATGATATGAATCCCCATTTCTCGCTTACTGCAATGATCATATCACAGAGCTTTAGACCGAGAAGGCATAAAAGGCCATTTCATTACCAACATCTGAGTAATACTTGTTGTAGTTGAGGTATTCCCAAAAATGAGAAAGTCCAAATTTCCCATGTTTAGGTGACTTGAGGTAACAGAGGTGCAGTTCTTTCATATTCTTGTCAAACGTTTGTTTTATTACGACCACCTGCAAAACAGATGCACATGCATGTTATCGACAGGTTGGTTCTTTATTTTAATATGTTATTTAAGAGCAAGAGTACAATTGTTCATTTTAATGCTCTACAATACAATACTAATTTCAGAATCAAACAACACACATCCACCATAATGTCATTTCGGAATCTGGATTCACACCAGCAAGCATGCTTACTTAGGCACCTCAAGTAACAGGGAGCTGCTTAGGCTGCCATGACATATGAATGCATGTAGATGAAAATACACACAACACAATACCCTTCCCTTGATGACTTGGGTGTTCTTGCAAACATATATTACGCTTTGCATTGTAGGCACACAAAGATACAAAACTTCCGAACAAATTAAGGTTTCCATGTCAAAAGAAAAACGCTGCAATATTATATACCATATTGGGGACCATGTAGATATCGGTTTCTGCAAACCAATGAGAACACCACCCACAAGGAAATGACTTTTTTGTGGTCAGATTTTTATTTTTTAAATACACAAAATAAGAATGGAAATTGCATATGGGATTGCCATTCAGCAATGCATTTAATCACTACAATCCCTATAGTATTGCTTCTGAGCCACTCCATAGACAATATGACGTGAATTAAGCAATGCCCCTTACGACAACCCCTTTTACCAATAGTACTGCAACCACAACCCCTCTATCAATGCCACAGCCAGAACACTTTTTACAACTTCTGCCCCATAGATCAAGTTTAGCAGTTCTCTCAATCACTTCTTATTGTGACACAAGCCCACAAATCAAACATATCATTAGGGCTCTAGTTAGCTTCTAATTCTGGACTTGGTTAGTTTTTTACCAGCATAGATGCATACTTCACATTTTGACCTTGATTTGGATCTGTAGCTGTTTGGGTTTTCGGAAAAGAAATAGGTGGCGATGGCTGTGATGCAGTTGGATCACAGCCCATAATGGTAGTGCTTTCTGGTGACAGCAGGCCAGCAGCCAGTCACATTCCTTAATCAGCACATAAAACCAAAGTAGGAAAACGGGATTCACTTATGAGATACAAGGAATAAGAATCCCACACAAACACAGGGTCACATCATAGTAAGTATGAAAAATATGTCTGCTTTTGATTTAGATTTCTTATTTTCAGGAAAAAAGAAGGTATATTTGGATTTCTAACTGCACAAGAAACAAAGGTATCTCAATATCCAACCTAGCAACACTCTTGCATTTTCACCTCACTGTCATTGTTGTTGCTGCCATCTTTACTATAAATGGCATTCCTAGTTAAACTTAAATTTCCTGAACACGGTTCTTTACAACGTTAAAGATGTGAGCATCACCTGAGATATATTGATTCCAGAAAGTCTTGCCATTAAATTCCCTTGACCTGTTCCCGCATCCCACATTTCCCCGGTAAGACACGACCTGAAGTCAAGAGCACACTGCAGAATGCTCTCAATGATCCGAGCTATAGGTCGTGTTTCATCAGAGAGGAAACATCTGCAAAGATTAGATTCATGGTTAACAGAAAATCCAAGGTAACAATATAATGTCAAACCACAATCTGGGAAAGAACAAGTACAAACAAGATATTACAACTCAAAAGGATGTAAAATAGAACGTGCTCACTCACAGCACACACTTGGTGTAAATCTTTCACTCATTTATTTACTATAAGTGAAAAAGAATTCTTTATTAATAGAGTTAGAAAACATTGAAATTAAGAAACAGGTGACACGCATATAGCAATGGTGAGAAAGTTTATAGAATGACCCACTGAACTTACATGTCAAGCGAATCTATTAAATATGCCAGATGTACAGACTGAAGATCCATCATATCTTTGACCTATAGTAACCAAATGCCAATTTAAGATCAAGAAAAAAATAATAATTAATTATAAACATGTAATCATATATCTCATCAAAGTTCTAGAACAAAAGGCATACCAGAAGTATTTAGAGTATATGGCGTAAAGAGACATGATATGATTCATAAAAGTCTATCTGCCATTTCATCTGTGAGACACCACTTTAATTAAATAACTTTCCAGATTTACTCAACAATATTAATACAATCTTAAGATAGAGCAATCTAATCAATCTTTTATGTAAATTGGAATCGAGATTTTCTTTTCTCTTCTTTTCAAATAAGTTTTTATTTTTATCAGAATATTGCATCACAAACAGATACCACCTTCATATCAAAAGATCTCCAGCATGTCACATCTAAAATTGGTCTGTGCTAGCAATAATCCATATACCCGCAGATTTTTAGAATATATAACCTCCCTTCTAGTTTGACCTAGCAGCAAACAAACAAATTTCAAAGGCCTTGGCGATGATAAAATAAACGGTTTTGAATTTTGTTTACAGGTGGGGAAAACAAATGTAGGAGACATTGTTATTCATTGCGCAGGGCAGGCTTTGGATGATTTTCATCAAACTACCTGCAGCATTGGAATCAATCTTTTGATTATTCAAAATTGGCTTCAAAAATTTCAATGTTCCTGTCATGTGGCAAAAATTTCAAATAGCATTTATTTTAAACAGATCTCTCATCGCCATCAAATGCAAGGTACTTCAGCCATTACACGAGCATTCTATGGAACATAAACATGCCAAAAAACATGGAATTTCAACTACAAAGTTGATGTACAATGAATTATGTAATCATTTCATCTCAACTTTCAGGCTTAATTGTATGAAGACTTTATGGATCAAAATAGCAGGCTTCAAACCTTATGCTTAAGTGAGTATAGAAACCTGCACCATGATACATGTGATAGCTGTGACTCCACATATTGCTGTAATGTAGATACAAAATGATTGACCTGGAGCCTATGCATAGATCAGAGAGTCAAATAATAAACATAATTTTCAATTAGAAATCGTAATTCTAGTATTTGATCAAAATTTAAATTCCTGTGAGGAAGTTAGATTGTCAGAGCAGATAGTCACCAAATGTCTCTCCCTTTACTTTTCATTCTAGGTTAAAGTTAAACCTGGCAGAAGTAAGACTACCTGATATACAGACAAAAAGACTATTCTTAGATCAAATAAACAGTATCCCTATTGTTCCCGGAGCTCCACCCCAACATCTCACGAAAAGAAAATCATTAGATCAAACTTCTCTAATCTTGCCAAAGAGAACAGAAATCCGCTGAAATACATCTCAAGACATATGGGGAAGAGGACATTTCAAATGAATCTGTTCTCATTTTCCATAACAATTAGAAAATTTGTATCCCGCACATCTCACAAAACACATCTTTAATTAGTCAGAAATGAACCCTGCAACTGTCTTGCGGTTCTTCCCTATTTCTTTCTCCCTTTTTCCACTGTTATTTCCCCCTTTTTTGCCACATATTGGGGGCCCAATAGGCCTGTAAGAGTTAGTCCTCTCCTATCCTACAAATCCCACAGCCTTGGTGAATGCAACATTCCATCCCAGGCCCCTTCTAAGATGACAAGAGACCTAACTAAATGAACTGGCAGGAATTATATACTTCTTTCCACAACTAAAACAGCCATTCATTTTTGTTTTCTGGGTAAATGATTGATTTTAATAGAAGAGTCAAAGGGGTAAATATTAGCAACTCCTATTCTGATGTCAACTTACGCATTTGTGAACCAAAAAGAAATTCATTAGAAACGTTATAAACTTTAGGTCATTTTATATTCATAATATCTTTTTTCTCTAAACTTTACCATTACTCAATAAAAAACAAAGTAGATGCAGGAAAAAAATGAAGGCAAAACATCTGAAAGGATGAGGTGGGATGAAAAGTTCAAACTTATCATGCCAAAGAAATAAAAGTACAACAAGAAAGCAAAAGTCAGCAGAAAACAAGGGTTGGAAAACATAAATCTCTGAATCCAGAAGTGGGAAACTAATTAACAGATATAATTAGGATTACAGTAAATAATCCCAAAGGCAGATACACTGAGAGCGATAGCTCCTAATTCACCAAAATTAAATTTAAAAAGGGCCAATTGCTCAATGTACCTCATCTTCACTAATGCATTGAAATGACGCACTTCCCTTTCATTTTGTTCAGAGTCGTTATTCTGACTAATTGAGTGCACCAAATCCTGCACATATAAAGTAAATTTTAGTATCCTTTGTGAAACAAAAACAAAAGGATCACGTGAATTACCATGCACTTCCATGAGCCAAATGCAAATCCAAGTAAGTTTATGCATAACCCAAACCCTTTTTTTTTCAGATTTAAACTTCAAAGAACTTCACCCACATCATCGAACACTAATATATATTGTCAATCTCAAAAAATTAAAAAAAAATCCTGAAAACTAGATGATAAAGCTTTTCCCCGAAAGAAATGGAACAGTATGGTAACAATTTAACAAATTTTCTTGTTGACATTTCAAAGTCAACAGAGAGTTCAAGAAGAAGAAAAAACAGAAAATTACTTATGTTAAGGGCATTAAAACAAGCATTTCTGCAGTCTGAAACTGGGAAAAAGAAAAGGGATAGTTAAAGGAAAATCACGTAGCAAAACATCATTATTTTCAACTATATTAGAGAAGACTTATGTCTCGGCAATCCTTAATTTAGTTCTGAAATGAGAAGTTAAATCAACTTCAAAGAATGCCCTATTGCAAACCAACAGTAGTTAGTTCTCTTGCCAGTGAAATATTTTTACTGTTGTACTGCTTAAGATTCAGAGGAATTATCAGCTGGTAAAAGTGCAACAACCACATTTGAAAAAGAAACGTCAAATCACAAAGCACAGAAGAGTACAAAAAAATGAATGCTATATGACCCAGCCTCTATCGCTAAATGATATCTCAACCCCTTCTAGAAGTTGAAGCTTCAGAGCTCTAGCTGGGCAAGAGAAGTTTTAGGATGGGGGGAGATTAATAAACGCCAAGACTAAGGGGCCGTTTGGTAACGTTTTCTAGGCCCCGTTTTCATTTTCTACCAAAAATGCATTCAGTATGTCGTTTTCATTTTCACTGGAATTGTTTTCTGAAAAAACAAATTCAAACTCATGTACAAAAACTGAAAACACCAAATTATCGTTTTCATTTTCTACCCAATGTATTGGTCTGATTGCTTTCCTTTTTTTTTTATTTTTTATTTTCAATTTTTTTTGGTTGGTCTGATTTTTCTTTTCTTTTTTTCTTTTTTTCAATTTTTTTCAATTTTTGGTTTTTTCGTTCCACTTCATTATTTTATTTTGCTACACCAGTGTATATTAATATTATGATAAAACCATCATATATTATTCAATTTCATATTTATTTTTAAATATTTATTTTAAACTAAAGATAATATTATTTTATTATCTAGGTTTTTCTAAAATAAGATTTTTTTATTATTTTTCTCGAAGTAAACATTTTTCATTGTTTGTAATAATTTAAGCCTTTAAAATATCAGAACTTTTCAAAATATACTTTGTAGGACAGAAATTAGCAAAAAATATACTTGAAAATTAACTCACAAATTATTATTCTCAAATTGTCCTACCAGACACATTTTCACTATTTTTATTTTCTGAATCTATTTTCCAATTAATCTACCAGATGCATTTTCGAATCCTGAAAATGCAAATTCGTTTTCTCGTTTTCTCGTTTTCATTCTCATAAAACATTCTCCAAAAACGTTACCGAACAGGCCCTAAGCTTTTAATCAGTCAAAGAATCCATACCTTTAATTGGCGCCATACATCAGTCAATGAGAAAATAGCAAGCTTCACTTGTATCAGAAAGCTGAATATCTCGGCATACATTTTCAACGCACTAGGACTCAAAATAATACTGATTGGCCAGTCTACTCTATAACCCAAACCAAGAAAATTGAAGGAATGGACTCCTGCATCATTGACAGGTAAAATATTAGAGGGTGGAGAGAGAGAGAGAGAGAGAGAGAGATAGAAGAAATGCCAAATGAATTTAAAAATGTTTTTCAAAATTCCAAGCATAACCAAATCTGAAATGAACAAAAACAGGGGATGCACTAAATGCTTTTTTTCAACATTATAAACATATTTGAACAACAATCAATTGATGTGCCAATATATGATGAAACATTGTGAACAGTATAACAATGTACCAATAACAGATGCTGAAAGAGGCATTGCATCATGTCCTTTCATGTACACAAATAACCTGTCCTTATGAGGGTCACGTTCACATGATGACCTCTGAACTGATGACTCAAGGAAACCTTGAATTTCTGAAAGTCTATGATCTGCCTCTGTAACACACCATTTCTATAATTTCCAGAAGAACAAGAAAAAGAATAGAGTCAGATGGTACTATGACGAATCAGATCCTAGTATTGAGTAATGACATGAAGTGATTATTACATGATGCCAAAGGGACATAATAAACAAATCTGCCCAGTCCGCTAGTTCCATAAAGTGGTATCGCCGCAGAGCCAGTAAATGTTCTTGCAAATCAAATCCTTCTTCAAGCAACTTAATAGTTAACTTGCTGACATACTTATATCTAGCATTTTTAAGGATAACATCTCTCTTCCAATGGCAATGACATGAAACAGACACACAACCTTAAAATTGTTAACAAGCAATCAAGCACCAAAACAAAGCACACAAACTGATAGTCATAAAATATTCTATTAAGGTTGTGCCCAACCAAGCATAGACAAGCAAGAAAAAATAACCATAAACAGAACCAGATGAATCTTCCTTCTACTTAATGCACAGAAATAAGGATACTGAAGCATGATTTCCTGCAGAAGGCATTTGTCGATAATAAAATCAAGTGGTATCTCAAAAATTTCTGACAAGCTTTGTCTATGATCTTCAACTCTATTAACGACAGTGTCACTGAATCTACCAAGCAAACTCTCCCAACAACTACCACCGGAAACATTTGTTAAATTAGCATTTTCTTGGTCGTGGTCCTTTGAGTCTGAAAATGGAAGAGAATCAGATACTTTGGTTTTATCAATCGAGACACTATCCCCACCAAAATCTTGTTTCCCAAAGCGATCACTCCTAACACTGGTAACAGAGGCATTGGAGTCCATGAGCCCTGCAGGTAGCTTTTCCAGACACACCTTAAAAGGGTCTTTTATCAAAGAAAATTCAAAGCAAGGCAAAGAATGTCCAAATTCCCTTCCGTATCTCTCTTTGGGCTTCGTTATCAGGTGAAGTAAGTTATTCTTTGTCAACATTGGATTCATGCTGAGAAAATTGTTATGGGAGTTAACTTTCCACTGTTGTAATGTAAATATATCTGAAGAAGTATATGTCACATTTTGAGGTTGATCCTTGCCATAGGCTTCTTCAATTAAAGCACTAGTAGTCCCAACTCTTTTTCTGAAATATGATGTGCCCTCCTTTAAGGCCTCTAGTATTCTTTCATTCACCTTTGAGGGAGAGTCCATTGGATGTGACCTTCGACCATCTTTGTACTCTTCATCAATGGCAGAATAACTCTCAAAAAGACCACCTTCTGGCCAGTCCTTATCGGATAGACAATCTGCAAACTGAACATCAGACAAAGCTGACAAGTTCGATTCTTTTGGTTTTATGGGCACAGATATTTGACTTGTAAACACACCTTTATGATGAGAATGTGCTAGGGCATCTCTTCTTTCACAAAGTCTACTCTGGTCACTTACTATATGGCATGACTCTTCACGTACATGAGGCTTTTGCAAATTATCAACGGGCATACTCATTGAAAAGCTTAAGGCAGATAAATATTTTTGTTCCAGCCCAACAACATGATTGGGAAGCTCAACCATCTGCTCAGACACATTTTGCTCTGCAGAAGTACTGTCAAATGAACTTTCAGATGACTCGTACGAATCCCTGAGGTCAGATAGACCATCCCTTGCACTTAACTCACCAGAATCCAAATAATGAACCCTGAGAATTAGAGAAATCCAATCATCCATGAAGCTGCAACAACATTTGGAAGGAAAGAACAAGAAACAGGATAAAGGAACATATGTATTCACCAACACATTTGTGATGGGGGCGGGGTGGGGGGTTGTTGGGGTGGGGGAGAGTGAGAGAGATTACCCATTTGACTCCCTTTTATCATTTGTTGGAGAAGGAATAAAATTGTCATCCAAAGCAAATAAACCTGGGTTGGTTGAACTCCTACCACCATTATCCAAGAGAACAGGCAGTGTACCTGGTCGAACTACCTGCATAAATAAAAACAATCAAATTATTAGAAAACCAGATAACAACAGAAACTAGCATTGCAGCAAAACTGTATGAAAGCAGGTAGACATGAAAGATATGTTTCCTCTCATTCACAACCCTGAATCCTCCTTGTAAAGAGCAGAGTTGTAGATGAACGAAAGAGAGGCACCTATAAGCCAGGACATAGTTTAAACTGAAAAATCTATAACACTGAATTTCCCCACCCTTTTTTTTGTACCAACAGAAGTTCCACATGGCCTACCTGAAGGCAACAATGGCATGTCAAAAGTGGCAAGTCATAAAAACAAAATGAGTAATGTCTATTTCTATCAGCACTAACCTTGTCACTTATGGAGCATCTAACTATACAAAAGTATAAAACTTAATCAATTTATTAGTAGCTTGTTCTGTTTTGCATCTTGGGTATAAAAAAGGGAGGGGAGGCTATATATGCACTGCATAATACTAATTTGCTCATCATAAGCAGAGTTTCAACCTCACAGCATTATAGGTTACTGCAAACCAGCAGCATACCTTTAAAAAATTATAATAATAAATCAGAGCAACAGTTCTGAAAAGAAATAGTTCAACCTAGGACTGTAGTGGCATGAGCTATTAAGAGAGAGGAATTTGAATGTAAGAAACCATCAAGGCTAATTGTAAATAAGTTACAGACAGACTATAATTATGCCTAGGAATGCAAAGACATCATATCTCTACATTGACCGGAAACTGAAGAAAATGCTATTTGCGTTGCATGCTGCAACTAAGAAACAAAGACAAAAATATATAAAACTAATTAGAGTTATAATTGCATTATTTTTTTGCATAATAACATAGTTTCTATATAAAGAAAATAAATTATCAGAGTGTATGACCTGTTGATATCTGAACTCTAATTTTGCAGAAAGATTCTCGAGTTTTTCCTGCATTCTTCTGTAATATCTGTCCCTTGAAAGTAACATGGCCTCTACATTTCCTTTTATAAATGTCAATGGAGACGAATAATATGGACAATTGCCCGAAAATCCAGTCCAGCAGGGAAGAAAACCCTTGTAAGTATGGTCGTTGGTGGCAACAAAAGTACACAATTCAAGCAATTTCACTAGAACTTGCAGCTGCTGACCAGCTCTGACAAGTGGAATCAAGACATCCTTCAAAAAACAAGGAACAGAAACTCCATCTTGTTCCTGAGGCACAAATGGTAACCATGAGAACTAATACGAAGAAGAGAATCATGAATTCAAGGAAAACAGAATTTAATTCCAATTTTCCAATATTAAAAGTAATAGCATTACCGTAATAGTTGCCAATGGGAAGTCAACAGAGATGTCAGCTTTACCATGTTGATTTGGAGATAGACTGTCAGCATATTCTACAACAAACTCCTTGTAAGGGTCACTAATCTCGGCTTTGAATATCCATGATCTAATAAAGCCACAATATGGTTCACATGTACGAAGAAAAAGAAATTTGAGTAAAGGACGATGAGCAGGATCAGCAACCTAAACAAAGAATAAATAAATATGTCAATGAGCGTCCATTAGCAGAATTTAACCTTTTAAAACATTTATGTTACTAGACTTTTTTATGTAACTACAGTGTCCATTACCATTAAGACAATTACAGCCATGTGAGGGGATGCCATAACAACAAACTTGAAAAAGAAAAAAAAAAAGCATTCCATACTAAAATTACGAAGTTTCATGTTGGGAAAAGCAAAGTAATCAAACCTGTAATTGAGTATACAGATATGAGAGTAAATCCCCTCCTCTGTAGAAATTACAAAATTCCAAATTTGCTTTTGTAATCAATTCTTCAAGAGAAGATACTGAGAAACAACTAGAGAATTGATATAAGTTGCATAAGTTCGTAAGGGCTTCAATCTGAGTCCTCAATTCCTTTGTGTGCAAATAGAACTCCAACAAAGTAAGTTCAGAATACACTACACTGTTCAGACATCCCACCACAGAAGACGAACACGAAGAGCGCCTCAAACCCACTGATGCATACAAGGTATCCAGTGCACACATGTAACCTTCCACAAACTTTCCCACCGAAACAGCGAAAGCATGATTAACAAGACTATATGGAGGGCACTGTTTCACTTGAGCTTCACCATCAACATGATCTTCACTTTCCACATTCAAATTTGAAAAGTAGTCCACAAATTTCCGGAGAAGAAAGACAAGCAAACCTGAGCAGCCAATGGGCTGGAGAATGTTTCCCAGAGCATGAGTGCTTGAAGACCTATTCCACAGACTTGGAATCTGATGGAAGGTCCTATCAGCCGGATCAGAGCAAAATGCAGCAGAAAGCTTCTGGATGCTAACAAGCGCCGATTCAACTCCTTGCAGTGCATTCATCGCCAACCGCACCAAACTTGCCTCCTGTGCCCAAATGTTCACATTCTTCTTAAATTAAACACAAAAACATTTTCCTTCAAAATTCAATTTTCCATAAAAACAAACAGAGTGACTTTTGAAAATGGAAGGAATTTATGAATGAAACCCTAAATTGAGAGAAAGCGGGACTTACGGAGACGGTGGAGGCATGGTAGAGGGAGTGAGAGGAAGAGGACTTGGGGTTTCGAAGATGGAAATTTCCGCTTTCGGATGGGATCGACTCCCAGGTAGTTGGAGGAAGCCATGGATCTTCCAGGTTTAGATTCTCAAACAATGAGGATGCGAAATTGGTGTCCATCGCCATAATCTCATTCGTCTTCTTCCTTAATGTATGTGTGTGAGTGAACTGGAGAGTAGTAGTGGAAATCTCTCCAGAGACTCAGTTACCCCGCCTAAGCTATATATAGGCAAGAGGAGTTTTAAATTTAAAATAAATTAGTTTTCTTCTTTCCTTTATTTCGTTAGAACTAGTTTCTTTTTCTTTTTTCTTGTTCTTTTTTGCACGTGGAAAATTCTAGGGAGACAACCTGATTATGTAACACATTTCTAGTATAATTGGGCCTATATTTATTAGAGATGTGCTACACAAAGGATGTGGAGTGGCCTAGTGGTTTCCTCTTCCCCTTATCATCAATTGGCTCGGGTTCAAAACTTTGTCATTCCCTTTAAAATACAATATTGTTGTAATTCAAAAAAGAGATGTGATACATAATGTGGTCTCACTAGCATTACTCTTTACACATATAATAAAATGTTGCAAATGTGGATCGCCCAATACTTTCTTTGTTTCCTTATTGTGTATGGTGTAGCATAGTTTAAATATCAAGTTCATTTAGTATAACTATTTATTTATTTCATTTTAACTTTCCACAATAGAAATTATCACTCATTTCGTCCAACATCCACGTAATTATGTGTGGATTCTCTAAATGAATGCATATCATATTTGAATTTGAGATATTTAGTTATATACCCCATTCTTAACACTAGTGTTATAAATAAACACTATACCATTTGATTTCTATAAACAAACCCAAAAAAAAACCCTACTATTGCCAACTGTCCTATTTTTAAGTTTACTTAATATACTAATTTTCGGTTTTACCCCTTTATTTTGAATGTTTTGGGTTTCTTTTTTGTGAGGTTTTGAGGTTTTGAGGTTAGACTTGTTTTAAGAAAACTGATGGCAGTTTTGAAAATTATAGGAGTTCAAAGCTTCTTAATTATATTGTAAATGGGTTTTGGGTGTATTTCTAAAGTCCATTTCATGTAGTTTTTTATTTTATAATTTAGACTCCTATATTGACTTTTAATTTTCAATCAAAGTTAGACTATTGTTAAGTCTCACCATACATAATTTCACAATTTTACAGTTAAACAATTTTGTTAAAACAAACCAAAAAAAAAAAAAAAAACAATTTTGTAAGTATTAACAGCAAATTTTTCTTTATATGAAATAACAAAACTCAAAAGCCGAATAATTTGTAACACAATTCCTAGAGGCTCATTGACCCCCGGAGAAGTAATCATTTGCATATAGGCCATATATATGCATGAAAATCAAAGAAGCAACAGTTCATAGAGGCCCAATCATCTAATAATTAACACTATCCAAAAGAGCAAATCATTTGCAAGGATTAATGATAACGTGCTATGTTCATAATATGCTTAGGTAACTAAAATATAGAAAATATATACGGCCTAAACATGTTCTTTTCTTTTGTGACTTTATTCTTTCTATCTTTATAAATGAGTTTTTATTTATTTATGGAAAACCTCCTCAATCATTTTGATACTCAACAAATTATCATTGAATAAGGTAGAGGTCACACTCACATTTGTAAAACTCTCTTAACCTCAATCACCTCAAATAACTCTGCATTCATTCATGTAAATGTGTAGTAGTTTTTGTGACATAGCACGGAAACACGATAAATAATTTTTTTTTGGTAAAACACAAGTATTAACTCTAAAATTGATAAACTACTGAAATACATGAGGAAAATTATAACAAAAAGTACGCGAGTTCTGTATCACATTTCATAATCCAATACTTGAAAAAATAGAAATTAGATTAACTTCTCCCATCCCAAATAATCTAACACACAATTGAACATGAAATTACATTTTTATTTCTTTAACCCTAGAGCGTGGTCAGAATTTTTACATCCAATGTGAACCCATCTTTGGGAAATCCCCATTCAATTTTTTCACCAACCATAAATATTCACAAGGAGGTAGGAAAGCCATAAATTCAAAATCCAAGTCTCTGTCCAAGGAAGATGCTCAAATTGTAGCAAGAAAGTATTTGCAAAGAGTATATGAAAGAGACAAGGAACCTTCACTTTGCCAATGCATGAAGCCACCAATTCATGATGCGTAACCAATCAAAGCATAATTGAACATCTCAAACAAAGAAAAGCAAGCAACCAGAAAAAAGAATAACTAAATCCAAAGAAAACACAAGGCCAGAAGGACCTCTCAGTTTCCAATCTCTTCATGCCAATATGTTTACTATAAATCCAACCAACCCTAGAGCTTCCATCATATCGCTCACAGGGTTTCGAACAGAGCTATAATCGTACACAGAAAAGAGAGAGACCACTGCAAATTTATAAGGCTAATTTAGATGGAGGGAAAGCCAGTTGCTGCCAATATTAATCATGTTTTCCAAGACATTGAGCCATTAGAAGAATGGGTACGAGAGCAAGCATCTGACGCTTTCCTCGTCCATCTGTCGGGTTTGTTGCTCATGAATTTCATTTTGTCTCTATATTATTATTGTTATTTTTTCTATATTATTATTGTTATTTTTTCAAAACCAAGATGTTGGGGAATGTAGAATCCTCCTTCGTTTTCTAACATCTTGGACGTCTCCACTTATAGCCAATTATTTAGTTTTGTATGGAGCTAGATTCGCACGTTAGCAGTTCGACAGAAAATGGGGGAAAAGAAATAGGGTCAAATCCATATATTTTGCTAGGGTTTTCAATTTGGTCCATGCATTTTTAAAACATGCAGTCATACTCTTGTAATTAATTTACATTAGGTTGCAATCAAGCCCAAAAATCTTGAATTTGATAGGTAGTGTTCTTTTTATTTATTTAAAGGTTTGGATTGGACCAAGAATTTGAGATTATTGTACTTCAAGGTGAATATTGTTGTATCTAAAAAATGTGAAATATGGGTTAGGTCAGTTGACTAAGGCAGTGTGTGAGCCCCTTTTGCATCCGAGTTTGATCCTGTGTAGAATATCGCTTTGTCAAAAAAAAAAAAAAACATATAACAAAGTGGTCACTTTTGCGATTCCACTCTTGATTGCAACCAAAATCTTAAACATTTTTTTATTATAAAAAAAATACAGAAAATCTTACCAAATTCTAGCCAAAGAATAACGTAACAAAAGATGACCTGTGTGTGAAGTTTTGTATTGATTTTCTTGTTCTCTATGTTTTGGAATTGATGGAAGAATATTGGATTGGCGTTGATTTATTGTGACAGGATATAAAAAGGAGAATCTGAAGATCCAAGTAACCTCAGCTCGATACGTAAGGGTGCTTGGTGAACGCCCACTTGGGGACAACAAATGGGAGCGCTTCCGCAAGGAATTCCCAATTCCCTCAAACTGTGATCCCAATGACATTTCTGCCAAATTTGAGAACGGCGTTCTTTCTGTCAAGCTCCCCAAAATGATAGCTCCAGCAGTTGATACAAAAGTACCAAAAACCTCCACCGCAGAAGCCCCAAAGCCACCCACCCAAGAAGCTCCAAAGCCACCCACCAAAGAAGCTCCTAAGCCACCCACCCAAGAAGCTCCAAAGCCACCCACCAAGGAAGCTCCTAAGCCACCCACCAAAGAAGCTCCTAAGCCGCCCGCCACGGAAGCTCCAAAGCTTCCTAAACCCATGAGCACGGGTGGGCCGCAGCCTCAAAAGACTGGTGCTAATAACCAAGAGCAGATCAAGAAAAGCAACGAAGCAACTTCACAGGGGCAACATAGTAATTACGCGCCTCCGCAGACAACTGAAAAGGAACCAAGTAGGGTGAGTAAGAGTAGCAACCAAGTGGAAGCTGAGGCTAGCAATGCTGCTCAGAAAACAATGGACAAGGACAAGAGTGGTGATGGGTTGGACAAGATTGCTGCTAAAAGCACTGAAAAACTTCACGAAGATCGCGGGAAAAGGGTTGAGGATTCGACAAAAGAGGAGCTTAGAAGAGCATTATTTGGGCATCCTGAGGACAATGCTGGTGTTGAGAAGTGCTCTTTTAGCTATAACTATAAGCAGGCGGTGGATGGGCTGGTTATGGAGATGAAGCAGCAGCCAAGGAAAATGGTGAACTGGGGTTTGGCATTTTTATTTGTTCTGGTACTTTGGTTGTATGTCAAGCATACAATCAATTCAATTCAGGAAATTAAACGCCAAGAACTGTAAATCTGTAATGACTGCTCATGCATGCATATGAAAAATGCATGAATTGAATAAAAGGACTTGACCATTGGGAGGTTGTCCCTAATTTATTTACTTACATTTTCATTGTAAAATTTGATTTACCAGTTAACAATTATTATTATGTTCTAAATGTCATTTCATGTTTGATAATTTTCCCAAAAGTAATTTTATACTAAATTGTTTCAGTCATAACTTTTAAGTTCATAAGACTAGTGCAAATGGGATCAGCATCCAGCATGAGAAGCAGATACATGCCATAAGTTTAGGTTAAACATAACTGAAAGTCTAGTTGGATATCATGGTAAAACTAGGTCTTATCAAAGACAATATTCTGGTAACACCAGCAACTCAACTTAATTGCTTTCTTCATTTGGGAACTCCAAGCTGAAAGCCACCCACTTGTCATCACTAACGGGCAGCACCGTTATGTGATTAGGGAATGCAATATCAGGAAATTCTGTGTAAACTCTAACCCTGTTGCACAGCAAGTAACTCCTCACCCCTGTACCTTTCCCTACATTTGTGACAGCAGGAAGATTGGGTTGTATAAATGCTGGAGAGGAAGGGCTTTCTTCAGTTGAAGGGAGCATCGATTCAGAGCTTGAAGAAGGATTTCCAGTTTCTTTCATGTTATCCATTTCCGGTACTGCATGAAATGAATCACTGACCTCAGCTTCGAGATTGGCGTTGGCTGATAAATCGTGTAATGTGCCTGTTTCATAAATGCAAGAACAAAGAATATAAAGGTTTTTTGGACAAAACAACAAGGTTTTTGACATTCCTCCTAGTTATCAGATGAAGATGTCACCTTTGATTTGTTTAGTACATTCCTCATACTTGATAGCTGGAGATGAAACCAATTGTTCTTCATGTATGAGATTCTTGAATGAATCGACAATCATTCTCAAGTCAGAGCTTTGAGTACTGGTCTTGAGAGCACCTTCTCTCAGATGGCAGGAAGTGATCTCAGTAGCCCGGCTCAATCCACCTAAAAAGAAATTAACCTTGTCAATGCGCATTCATTGGCTTTCTTCCATGGAAATGTGCACAAGCAGCACATAACTCAACGTAGGATGCAAATATTGGCATTGCAACAATGTGCAGCAGAGTAAAGATTACCAAACGTAACGCAAAAAATGGCTTGTCAATTAACTAAAGATTTCTCTGAGTAAGCAATGAACAGAAACCTATCCGCAATTATTCAGTTACCTAATGAAATGATTTATATGCCTACTGTCTATCATGGCCTAATAAAAATTTTGAAAGACAAAACTTCATATGTAGCAGAAGAACATACAAAATCTGTTCTAATTTATTGCTCATGCTCAGATTAAATGATATACAAAAGAAGCTTCCTTCCGCAAAAATCATAAACCATATCAGAAGAGGAAGAATACTAACTAACTTACGCTCTTTTAAAGCAATGCAGGCAACTTTTGCAGCATTCAGCTCTGCCTGTTTCTTGGATTTCCCTGCTTTCCCATAGAATTCCTCTCCTTCAACTTCCACAGTGGAGGAGAATGTTGGCAGGTGAGATGCACCGGATCTCGCAGTTTTATATGCTGGCATGTAAAATCCTTCTCTCTGAGCTAACTCCTGTAAGTGATTCTTGTAATGACCAGATTCAACCTGTACAAGGACATAAAGAAATTAACTCTGCACTCTATTAAATGAATTAAAAAAAAAAATTCATATCTAGGATGTTGCGCAAAAATGAACACACGCGTCACCATAAGATATTGTTCATTTTTGCAACCACAAAAAAGTGAGAGCAAAAGAACAAGAACTAGTTTAGGGAACTTGCACTGATTTGAGCACCGTCTTGTGACGATGACATTGAAACAGCGTTTGCAGCAGCATGCTCTGGCCCCTTCAAAGCGTTGAAGAACTCAGGGCTCTCAAAATTATGCTCATCAGCTCTAACAGTAGGCTCAACTACAAGAGGTGGTCATTGATGATAAAGAAAATCAGCTGTATATTGGAAAGGCGTATGAAATATTAAATCCATTTAAACTATAGATTAAGTTTGCCAAGTTGAAATGTGCTTCATTCCTATGAACTTCATATAACAATATCTGATTTAAATCTTTCCCTTTTGTGATAGTGAAGTTAGTGATATGACAACACTAGCCTCATGCAAGTTTAAGAGTTTCCAAATAGATGAAGAGCAATATTTTTCTCACTTAATAATCTGCAGGGAAAAAATATTCATTCTTTTAAGGTAATTAGTTTGTTCATCAGTAGAATGGATCACGATTCACATATAAGCATCATCCTATTTTAAAATATAATCGGTCAGGCGGAAAGTACAAGTTCCCTGAAGCATACAAGAAAAGTACTAGATTGGAAGAAAAGAAACTAAGAAAGAGATCAAATAGAAGCCAGATGAGAAATATAACAAAATATACCGGAAGAAAAAGAAGAAGGTGGAGAGGTGAAGTGGAGGAAAGCGAGCATGGCGGCTTGGTTCTGCGCTTGTTTGGAAGATTTGCAAGCAACTGGCGAGTCAAAGGAGATGCCATTTACAGATACAGAGGCCTTGAAGGCAGGGTTGTGATCCGGTCCATCTTTCATGGCCGTGTATCTTGGCAACCCCCACTTCTTCCCATGGCACAGCTCCTGCAGCTTACTCTTGTGCATTATATACATAAATTCTAACTAATTTCTTCCTCTTTCTCTAAAACAAAACTGATCCGAGACGATGAACTCTCAAGTGGAAGAGCTGAAGAATTAGCAGTGTTGGCTTGAGGAAGGAAACTCATCTTTGTGCTTTGGTTTTCTAAAGGCAACATGCAATGCTTCCCGCGTGAATTTTTGGAGGAAGATTTTCCAATTAGGTGCATTCATTTGGTGTGGAGGCAGCAAAACTAAGGCAAATGATCATTATCTCTGCATGTTAAAAGCATGAGGGGGGTAGTAACTAAAAAAAGCATGAGGGAATAATCTGCATTATCTAATGTGTATCTAATATGATACATTTGAAGGCTGAGATAATATGATTAATTCGATTGTATGTATCTAATATGGTAATATAATTTGTTGTTGATATAGTGAAGTTTATTGGCAAATACGAAAAATATTCACGCTAAAGTTATACCATATTTGGTGACTTGGATTGAATTGAATTGAATTATGAGGTAGAATTGAATTGGATTGGATTACATTAGATTGGAAATGATAACACTAATCCATTGATATGTTTAGTACTACACACGATTAAGGGGTCGGATTTAATGAAATGTGCAATTACATGTCTTAGTAGGATTAGACATAATCCAATCTATGTTATTTTTAGGCCCACCAAACATTTGATTAGGATTATGAATCATATCCAACTACATAATCCAACTCACAAAACGAGTAATATAACAATAACGTTACGAGTACCAACTTATTTATCAACATATTGATAACAACAAATAAAACCTGGTTACATATGGTGAAAACGTAGGCTAGTATTTTAGTAGAAATCAAATGGACTTTAACAGAGTTAACTTCCTACGAGGAAACGCGTGTCAAAATCACGAGGAGGAAAATGGTGGGTGCAGGCCTTTTGATAACCCCTCTCTTTCCGCTCTCATGCTATCATATTTTCTCCCAACAACCCCTGCTGCTATTCGGTTTGCTAAAAAACCGAACCCATCAATTACCGCTCGATTACGTCTCTTCAAAGTTCAAACCATTAGCTTCTGCAATTTGACAGCCTGAAGAAAGAGAAGATCACAAAAAGAGGTCAGAATTCTTTCTGGGTTGCCTTTCTCATATTAATTTCGTGAAACTTCGTCTTTCAGTTTTGTCTAGAATATGATAAATAAATTGAATTCTCAGCAATCTGAATCTCTGATAAACCTGCATATGCATATTGGGAATTTTTTTTTCTTGAATATTTCAGCCGTCTCATTTCCATGTTTTGTTCTTCACAGGTTGGTGTATTTTTGTTTCTAATTTTGTTACTTAATTTGTTCTCTCTCTGTTTTCTGAAGGAAAAATGGTCTCTGAGCTAATAAATGCCAATCCGGTCATCTACGAAAAGAAAGAGCGTCGGGTTCGTAGTGTCCCAACTGCTGCTGCAGATGAATATGCTGTTGAACCCATTGACCAACAAGAAATTTTTGATATCCTTTCTGTATGATTACATGTATGCTTGTAATCTTATATGTACATGAAGCATCTGTGCATATTCTGATGCTTTTATCAATGCATATTAAACTCTTGATGAACTTAATTACTATAGCTTAACCTTGTGAGTTTGGTTTCAAAGTAATTTTGTATTTTGTCTTGTATGCCGAGAAGAATTTGGTCTTTCTTAACAATTGTTACATCACATTAGAGATATAAAAGACCCGGAACACCCTTACTCGTTGGAGGAGCTCAAAGTAATTACAGAGGATGCAATTGAAGTAGACGATGGTCGTGGTTACATCAGGTAGACAAATCTTTATATGCTCATTTAAATAGTTTTTCCTAATTCAGTTTGGCTTTTAAACTCTGTTGATTGAATAAATGATAATTGTTTTCTTCAGGGTCACATTTACTCCTACCGTCGAACATTGTAGTATGGCAACGGTTATTGGTCTTTGCTTACGTGTTAAACTCTTAAGGAGCCTGCCTTCTCGTTACAAGGTATGACCTTTATTTTCTTCCGATTGTCTTTGTCTTACAACATTCTTTATGTACCATTTAAAATAGGTGAAAGTGGGAGTGAATATTGTGATTGCATAAAATATTTTGATTTGGAATTCAGACCGTATTGTGTCACTGTTCTTTAAGCTATTGAGTTGAAGGAAAAATTATCCATCGGTTTGGTGATTGATGAGATTTGGGGTAAAAACTAGAGAGGGTTTTCTTGGAGACATATTATTATGCATTATGTGATTAGTATGGTAAGAGTAAAATCCAGAACATTTTAAGATGTGGGGTTTAGTGCCCAAGTTGAAATGGGTTTTTTTTTCCAGCAGTTTCTTTTGCTTGATGTTTTCTGTGAATTCTTTTCCTTTCTGAGAATCAAATTAGAATATAACTTGTACACCTAGCATCTGTAGACTTATGTCAATATTAATAGGATTAGGATTCCTAAACTCATAAGGATTCTTTATTCACATATTTCATCTCTAGCATATGTTTCTCTTTACATTTATTTTGCAGTACAGCGGTGCTTTCATCAAACTGAATTGAAATATCAAAGAAAATGACATTTGGAGTAGTCATAATCTTAAAGGAAACACTAAAATGCATAGGCAGAATGACTTATTACTAGAATTTTTGTATGACTTTATAAGAAATCAACTGTTTGAACATACTTGCGAAGTGTCATGCACCATTTTTGAAGGTGTGTGAATTTAGTGAGGAAGCAGGGAACATTCCAAGATGTTCTGCTCCACAACAGTAAAAAATTTTGACGAACAAAGCCTGTGCTGTTATTTTGCTATTTTCTGTCTTGATGCTAGACTGGTTAACAAACCTCCTAGGTTACTACATATAGTGCAAATAAATAACAGTGGTAGAAAAAATATTGGAGATAGAGACTCTGGATATGGTTGATTGAACTCAAGGTCAGTATACAATGAAGCAAAGTATTTTTAATTAATCACTAGAAAATGATCCATTAATGGCATCTTGGAGATAGCTTTGGTAAAAAGCGTGGAGTGTTAGAAGTGATAATTGCTAGATGTAGCAGCTGTATCTTCTGATCGTCCACACTCCACATACAAGTTGGTGTGCTTTTTGTGATGCCATTCAGAGAGAATTCTTTTGCTAATCATTTTGTTCCAAATATTGGCATAGCGTATTGTCTAAAGTCTTCTCACTCTGTATTGTCTGCCACCTGTGATGCCTGACCATTTATTGATTTCATGTTACTTAGTTCTTGCCGTTTTCCACTACATTGCTTGATGTACTGCTAAAGTTCATACTATTTGTGCAATTAGGATTCTCCTAACTGGATTCAACATGTGAGTTTCCCCGACCCACCCCCACCCATCTCTAACCTGACTAGCATGAGACACATGGAATCCCATGTGAATCACCAAGGACCACCTTTGTAAAGGCTAAATATGATAGACGGCATAGCAAATGTCAGGTCCCAACCCCTTCCCTCCTTTTCTAGATATCTTTTTTGTTAGTTGTCTATGGTGCATCTAATTGATTGTTGAATTCTTTATTATTTTTTGGTGGCATTGCCTGATGTACTGGTTGAAGTCTCAGCTATTCAAAAGCAAATGCAGAAGTTCAGTTTCTGAAAGCATGATGCAAAAATAATTATTAATTTTGCGAACAACCAATTCAAACAAAATGGTCATGTAATTTTTTGTGTGTGTGTGTGTGGTTAGGTGGATATTAGGGTGGCACCAGGATCTCATGCAACTGAAGCTGCTGGTACTCTCTCTCTCTCTCTCTCTCTCTCTCTCTCTCTCACGACTCATGATTCGTTCATATGATTCTCAGCAATTCACAATATAGTTTATAGCCAGTCATTCCATCAAGCTTGCCTGCGAAGGTTCTGACATCTGTTAAAAAATCATTTCTCCGACCTATTCTAACTTATTGCTAATAGAGAAAGTGAAGTCAGTCCTACCTTTCATCTTGGTGATAGCTTCTAGTAAACAAACACTGGACGTTTTGAAGCATCTATTGGACTATAGGACCTTAACATGTTGTAGCAAATACGTGACCTGAGCTTAGTATAAATTTCATAAATTCTCATCTAACATTTGTGCTTTTATTTTTCTACTGTGCAGTTAATAAGCAATTGAATGATAAGGAACGGGTGGCAGCAGCACTGGAAAATACAAGCCTTTTGGATATGGTTGATGAATGCATTTCTCCTTCATATGAGTGAATATGCGGACTAATTCTAATTGACTGAACCAGTCATCAGTATAATACTTTTCTTCCCTGTTATTTATGCATTTTGTTGCCGCTTCTGCTTTTCTTATTTGAGTGGCCAGTTATATGGGAATGACAGATTAAAAGAAATGATGTCCATTGCTCAAAATTGTGAGCATTTGATTCTTGTCCCATGAAATCTGTATTGTAATACCACAGAATAGCATTAGTTTATGTGATATGATTTAATTTAATTATCAAACTATTGTATATTTAGGGTTTGATAAATTTTTGTTGGTTGAAGGAAAACTTAACTCGGGGGGAGGAGTAAGAAGAGAGAGGGATGAGATTGAAATGGAGAAATTAGAGATCATTTTCAATTGGTTTTTGTTTCCAAGGGCATCTAATTATTTTCCCCAAATTGAGCATCGTTAATGTCTAAAATCCTAGAGTGGAAATCTAAATCCTAAGCCGTATGGTTTTTACATCCTAAAAGTTAGCAACCCACTAGGGTGAAAAAAAACTTGTCTATCCCAAATTTCTTACACCTTTATCTCTATCTCTATCATCGTGTGGCTCATGATGGATAAGAAAGGGGTATGAAACATGTTAGATGGAAGGTTTACTGAAAAGTGAGGGCTGCAGTTGGATTGACGGAACAAAAAAAATGTACACGAAATCAACCTACACCTAGCAGCACAAGGCACTAGGGAACCTAACTCAATTGAGGTATTTTCTTCAGTTGAGAGGCAAAGCTTCCCACGTTGCATTGGAAAGTTTAGGGGCCCTAAAATTGATTGTCTTGGGATACCAATCGCACAAAAGGAGTGAAATGATTTGCAAATCTGTGATTAGGTTGTTACTTAGGGGATTTGGAGGAATGTACAGTGGAAGAAAGGGCAACGATGAAGCTGAAGCCCTCAAACAAATCCTTATAACCTAAATTAACTGTTCGAAGCAGCTTATGAACTATATTGCAATGTCGAAAAATAAACTAGCCTAGCACCAAAAATAAGAAGAAAAATGACAGGCCACACAACACCTAAATAACTGTTCAAAGTATGGCTGTTGCTTACATTTTGATTTAATAAAATCATACTGTAAGATGAATTTCTGTTCTGCAACATGCTCCGAGATCATTACAAAAAAGTGGGGCAGAAAAGAGAGTTAATTGCTTTTACTTCATAACGTTACAGGTTTTTCCTGCAATCTAAAACATAAAGGAGAAGCAAAATACACAAGGGCAGATTGGAGATTTGAAGATAATAAAGTCTAAAAAGAATGTACAGAAACTACTACTAGGCTATCACCTACCCTAATTAAAATATATATTAAAGCAATTCCAACAAAAAAAATTTCCTTTCCCCAAGATAAGACCAAATCGGTCCTGAGCTCACTGGTCATCAGTCTGAACGCCTCAACATCCGCCGATTGTATTTGGCGGCAGCAACCATGTTGCTGAGGGCAGGCTGGACTTCAGAGTATTTGCGTGTCTTGAGACCACAGTCCGGGTTAACCCAGACCATGTTGTTCTCAAGGACCTTAATGATATTCTTAATTTTGACACAAAGTTCTGTATCAGACGGGATCCTGGGTGAGTGGACATCATAGACACCAGGACCAATGCCAGAACCAAACTTCAGTCCCTCAGGGAGGGCTGAGAGCAGCTTCTCATCTGATTTGGAGTTCTCAATGGTGATAACATCCGCATCCATGTCAATGATCGAGTGAATGATGTCATTGAAATTCGAGTAGCACATGTGGGTGTGGATCTGTCCAAAACAAGAATTCAAGCATTATACTAACGTTTTGATAAAGTAGGCCAATTCATACTATTAATTTGTATTCAGTATATGAGTTTCCGGAAACCATCTCTTTGTATCTGTTAGACAGCCTCGTTAATTCCATTTTATAAATGAATTTTTTATACTGTCAATTGACACATGTTTATTTAAAGTACTTAAAAGATCTAGCACTGAAGTGAAACAAAATATGATCTGACACTGTTGACTTATAGACCGGACCAAATGGTAGAGAAGTGAAAAGGAACCTGGGTAGTATCCTGAACACCACAGTTCGTTATCCTGAAGGAGTGAACAGCCCAACCTAGATAGAGAGCCTGCTCAGCCTTCCTCAAAGGCAAACCTTCTCTTAGAGCAGGCTCATCAATCTGGATTACAGTAATGCCTGCTTTCTCAAGATCCTCAACCTCGTCCTTGATGGCCAAAGCAATCTGATAGCAGGTCTTAAATCTGAAAGCAGGCAGATACCTTGTTTAAAAGCCAGAAAAGAATAACCAAAAAAGATCAGGAAATTGGTATGCTTGTATTCTTACCTGGGCTGGTCATTTCTCACAAAGGACCAGTTCAGAATGGTAACAGGTCCAGTGAGCATGCCCTTAATAGGTCTCTTCGTCATCCCCTGAGCTAGTGAAGACCAGAAGACTGTCATGGGCTTGGGGCGGCTCACATCACCATAGATGATAGGTGGCTTGACACAGCGGGAACCATAAGATTGGACCCACCCATTGGAAGTGAAGGCAAATCCAGATAATTGCTCCCCAAAGTACTCAACCATGTCATTCCTCTGGGTTGGCAATATATTGACAAATATAATCAGGAATCAAAAACCCTCTTTGTACAACAAAAGCATGGCCTAGTTGAACGAACAAGCATTCTATCTATTGAAAGCTCACCTCTGGCTCTCCATGTACCAACACATCAATGTCCAGCTCTTCCTGGAGCTTGACAACTTTGTTTATTTCCTCCTTCATTGCATTGACATAATTTTCCTCAGAGATTCTAGGAAGATGAAGAGAGCAGTTTAATATTTGCAGTAAAAAGAATGAACAGAATTCTGAGGTCAACACAACTTCCAGAACAAGAATGCTCACTTCTTATCCTTGAATTCCCGGCGCACTCTTCTTACATCTATTGTTTGAGGGAAAGATCCAATGGTGGTTGTTGGAAGAATAGGAAGGTTCAGCTTCTTTTGCTGAGCATCTAACCTTGCAGCCACATTTGTGGCCCGACGGAGGTCAGAGCCCTTCAGTGCAGCAGCCTATGCAAGAAAGAATGATAACCCCATAAGTGCAAAATAATCACTTATGGGGCACTTTAAAACAGATAAACATAAAAAACCAAAAAACTTACAGCCTTCTGGACAGCCTCATTCGTCACCTTAGGGGAGGATTTTCTTGAAGCTTGAGCTGCAGCATTGGTGGAGAAAAATGCCTGGAAATGATTAGGTTGTGAGAAGTTCAAAAGTACTACAAATGAAAAGATCCTCAAAGTAACAAAGCTTTAAAGAATTACAGAAAGTTTCCAGTCCCGAATAACACATCTAGTAGGAGATCAATTAAATATGCAGTAATTCACCTGCTTCTATAAATAACTATGTCCACAGCACTGCATAGCATAGTCTTAAATATAGCCAGGAAAACTATTAGCAAATGTCAGAAACTTCAATATTCAAACTGGCACTGGATAAGAAGGTCTTGGGTTTGACCAGATGGAAGAACTTGAGGAGAGGGGGAGAGGGGGAAGGAACTAGCCTCTCTTTGTAATCCACCTCCGAAAAGTAAAAAAGGGGGAAGAGAGAGAGAGAGAGAGAGAGAGAGAGAGAGAGAGAGAGAGAGGACATCAAGATGATCAAGTAAAGTTAATGATTATGTCAATGCAATCAGAAACATTCAGTACTGAAAGATCAAAACAGTATTTTTTGCTCTGTTCGGTGCTCTGAAAGACTCATTTGTTTACATGCTTTATGGATAATATCCCTCCAATATGAAAAATGGTTAAATGGAATGCTCAAATATCTTAGGACTGTCTAAATGATAATCAGAAGGTACATAAGATTTTATTTTATTTTCAAAAAAAATATTAAAAACCATTATCAAATGCAGAAGTTTTAGATTTATAATATTTTTTTATGCCTAAAATTTAAAAAAAAAAACAAGAATAAAAAAAGACTAAAAATTAAATACCTCATCCTTGTGTCCAGACAATGCCTTAGCCAAGGCATTTACTTCAACAACTTTTTGGGCTGCAAATGCAAGCCATGATTTAACCTCTTTATCCAACTCAGTCTCGTTCACTATATCAACTGCAGTGTGTAGAAGAGAGCAGGATGTGGAGACAACGATCTTGTCTGCAGAAAAAACATATTATATTAGATAAAATTACTTACAGCAAACTGAATACATCCATCACTTAATCACTTATCAATAAACCTTTTCCAACAATGCCCTCAAGAGCCTGCAGGGTACAGAGGGAAGATGCAAGATCGTTGGCCCATATATTCCTTCCATCAACCACTCCAGCAAAAAGGTGTTTACCAGAAGGAAATCCATCCTTAATTAAATCAAGGGTCTTTTCTCCACGAACCAGGTCAAACCCATAACCGGTAACACCCTTCAAAGAGGTAAGTGTCTTGTATGCCTCGGCAGTAACATCAGCAAAGTATGTCTCAATCAGAACATTTAAACCAGATAAAGATGATTCTAGCTCTGAGTAGGCACGAGCAAATGCCTGCAATTGGTTAGCATCAAGATCCCAAACAAGGGTGGGCTCATCAAACTGGATCCAGGTAGCACCAGCTGCCTTAAGTTCTGCCACAACCTCCCTGTATGGTTTTGATCATCATTAGAGATATTACAAACACAACTAATATAAAAACATATAAATGTCTATGAAATAGGGGAAGTCAGTTACTTGTAAACTGGAAGAATATAGCGAAGTAGGGATAGAGGGGGAAAGGATTGTTCAGTACCCCTTGCTGGTTTTGATAGCAACAAGTAGGATACAGGTCCTATAAGGACGGGAACAGTATCCAATCCAAGCTGCAATGTATCAAAATATGAATGAATCAACAATTCATACAAATATGGGACATTAAATTGAAAACTAGAAAGGAATTAAGTTAGATGCAGAAAAGTGGGCTAATTCTTTCATAACAAACTATTTAAAATAAAATTACAAAAACTTTGGCATCTCCTTTCAAGACATTATGATAAAAATACATGAAATAAGAAGTCATAGTACTTAAAATGAGATGTTATTCTCAAATTACAAGGCAACATGATAAAGTTATAGACCATAAAGTGTGAGATAGCCCTTAAACAGACTATTCATGGCATTTACGATTCATTCATTTTAGTCGGATCCATTTCAATTTATTTAAATATTAAACATGTGCTTGAAACAAAAGACGAGATCTTAAGATTGAGGAAGACTTACAGCTTTGGCCTCCTTGAATT